TCATTATAACTAGGCTAATGAGGCCCAGAATACAGAGAACTACACCAGGACGACTGCCTAAACCTGTCAGACTAGGCATTTTGTCTGCTGTCCTTGTCAACGTTTTTGCTCTCTGATAAATATTACACTAGTGTAGGTCCTCTTCTGACTGTAGCTCTGGTTCTACAGGATTGTATATCAACTCATGTACTGAGGTTCTCAAATAGGCATTCACAGTGCCGTCCTATTTCATCAACATCTAAATGAAAAGGCTATGAGTAGTCGGGTGCATGCAAAGCACATGCGTATGCCAAAGCCTGTTTTATGGCAACAAAAGCCTCCTCTGCTTGTGGAGTCCACAACAAAGTAGAACCTTAGTTCTATAGCCCGCCTCTGTGAGCATGGCACGGAGAGGTGCCACAAAGCTGGTGAAATTGGGCACAAAATTCTTGCTGTAATTAATAAGTCCTAAGAACTGCATCATGGTCTTAATGGTGGTGGGCTTAGAATGTGAGAGAATCAGTTTTCTGTGACTCAGTCATATGCCTGTGGAGGTGGGTAGACTTGATGCTGATATTGCGGTGCATGGTGACTGCTGATATGAAAAGGGACATTCATGCAACCAGTGTCCTCTTTCATTACAAATCCAGCACCTGTCATCTCTTGGCGGACCTCTTCTGAGAGTCCAAGGTCCTTGACCTCTTCCCTGTGGCCTGCCACGGTACTGAGGTCCACAGTACCTGGGAGCGGAATCCCACTGATAAGGTGGTGCGGTCGGCTGTTGAACAAAGGGCTGCTGCCGTGCACATGGCTGTATAGCATTCTGCACCGGCATTTGGTTAGCTGTAGCCTTACTTTAACTTTGTCTTGCATCTCCTGCAACTGTGCTTTAGCTAACTGTGCCTGCAAAGAAGAAAGCTCCTTTGTATTAATTTCTTGTGCTTCCAGCTCATTGTCAATATACTGAGTGACATAAGCTGACCACTGCTCAAATGCAAATGTGTTGAGTCCCACCACCTGTCTCAGAAGATGCTGTATGGATGCTGGGAGGGAAGCCTCCACAGCACTGCAAAATAGCACCCCCATGGTGTCATTGACGGCTGGGTCATCACCAGTGCGGTTCTGCCAGAGTTCACGCACTCTGAGTAAATACTGATGTGTCGTGTGTGTCATTGTGCATGTGTACATCAACCCTATGTGTCAGCAAGACCCATAACAGACTGTCCTGTACAATTTGTTGTATATTTACATATCCGGGACACATTGTAAAAGTATTGGTTTATGATTTTAGTATTTATTCCATCGGTATTTATACTGATAATGCATATTGGCCACATGTTATCCCCTATGTAACCACAAGAGGCGCTACTGTGTAGTCTCTAAGAGCGAGGCCACATGGGATATGTAGTGTGTTTATCCTGCAGCCATTTGGCCCCCAAGGCCATGCTTTGGTAGCATGTTATCCTCAATGTAAGCACAAGAGGAGCTAGTGTGTAGTGTCTATGAACAATGCATCTTGGGTCTTGTAGTGTGTTTCCCCCTGTGGCCATTTTGTACACACTGGGCCATTTTGTCTCAGTTCATCAGGTATGAAACCTGTCGCTCTCATAACACGTGTCCACAATTGTTTTTATATTTATTATTATTCCACGCAGAGAGTTTTGCATACACCATGTCCAGATGTTAAACCTATCCTGGCAGGGTCATATACTGATGATGAATATGTTTTGTCAGCTGGAGGTACAGTCCTTGGACTCTTCCTCCTTACAGGCCCATTACCTCTCTCCAGCAGGGTTCCAGCATGGGCTGCATATGCCATCTGAGAGTTACATGCATTAGCCTGTGGCTCTTTTCCCTCAGTCTCTATCCTAATCTCACAGTTCAGAAACAATGTAGAATCTCACCATATCTTTTCACTTTTTTAAAATCAGGACTTAACCCTTTCTGATCCAAAATATGCCATATCTCCTCATCCAGCCCATCTTCAACATTCAAAGGTACCAAAGCATAGTCATTCTTAAGCTGGATGGTAGTGTTAGCTAAATGTTTAGCCTTAAGGTGATATTTCAGGCTCAATGTACTTTGATAGTCAGAAAATTCCTTATTCCAGAAACTACACGGAATCTGTATATGACCCTGCCAGGATAGGTTTAACATAAGTATAACATTGTGATTAGAGTTAATATAAGCTAAAGTATATAACTGTTTATCATATTTAAGAAATGTTGGTGAAACATCACAAAAAGTACAAAAAGGAGGAAAATTGTAGCTCATACAACAAAAGCATCAAAGTGATAACACCTAGAACAAATATGTTAACTGAAAGTCAGAACATTAGGGAAAAAGACCAGCAAGAAACTTGAAGCACAAAACAATAACATGTAAAATACAGAGCAGTATTTTTTCTTAACATACTAAAAACATTAAATAAATTTAAGAGAGTGCTAAAATAATTTTCATTTTTCCAACTGTTACTCAAAGACAGTTTTACTCCAAATTCCAGAAATGAACTAGCTGTTGTTAGGTACTTTCTTAGTTAGATAGATATTGATTAGAGATCTGTTGTATTAGAAGATGTTAGTGTAGCCAGGATGTCTTCCTCAGGCTGTTAAATGCAAGGTTAGTTAAAGCAGAGAAAGGCTGCAGGCAGGGATAAATGTTATTATGACGGTAAAAGTGACCATAATATTTGTCTTAATGTGTAATGTTATGTCAAATTGTTTTAGATACACACCACGAAAACAACAGTCACACACCTTGACTTTTCCTCATGTTTTGGCTAACGTTATAGCCAGCTGCAAAGCTGGTGAAAGAGAGACGTCTCGGTTGACGTTTCTGTGGAGGAGGGGGCGAGCCAACTAAGTGATTAATATTGTATAGCAATTCTTGGTTCGGGGTCTTTTT